ATAGTGTAAGATATCCATAGGCCAGCGACTCCCTGGGATTTTCAGGGGGATCTAAGGGCACACGGGGCTAGAGAGCCTCTTAGACCACAAACCTGCCCAACCTGCACTAAACCCTGGCTATGTACCATCACCTCACAGGCCACAGCTGGGAAGCTGCTGTTCCTGTCATATTTGTTCTTACTCATCTAACATGGGTACATAAGAATGACGACAGTTTTAATTTCAAAGGATTTTCTGCACAGCGTTGGATTGAATAAATAAAACTTAAGAAATCTGAAGGGTAAAGATCAGAAATAGACATTAAGTGTACTGAAAAACTCTTCTAGAATGAATTGCGATAGCAAAGCAAATCAGTGTACTTCCAAAGGGAAGACGGAAAGACACGACTGACTGCTACTGTCTGAGCACTAGGCAAAAAGGAATTAAGAAGTCATTCACAAACAGGAAACCCCCCGCTGACATTCAGCAGTGAAGTTGTTTTCAGAGTGCACCCACTGTGAAAAATAAAAAGCTTCATGAAAAGCAAGGATCAGACATGGGGAAGTGAGAATACCAATGCCAAGGAGGCCGAAGCAGCAAGAGATCAGAGAGAGCAAATGCAGAGAGCTAGCTGAAGGCAGGCTGGTTGATTTCTGTTAGCGACTTTGCAGTCACTAACAGGTGGATAGGAGCTTCTACCCTAGATGGTACAAAAGGTGTGGGGTTACAAGTATTTAAAGAAGAGTTTTTAAAGCCTTGGAGGAATTCAGCCTTGGGAACTGAGCAAGACAGCTGCTGAAAACCAGGGTAAGTAAGAATGGGAAATGAAGGAGAAAGTAACGAAAGTCAGTTGCAGACAAGTGACACATGAAAACAGAGTAGAAGAACGTATGTGCATTTAAGAGAGAACCCTCATGCCAGGTAACTGCAACATGAAGAGGGCTCATGTGAGGCCACAGGTCCTTGGCTAGTCTAACCTTTTCTGTGTTTCAGCTTTTTTTGAGGCATCTGTTGAGAACAACTCTGTGCTCTAAAGCACAATTTTGAATTCAGCAGAAAAAACAAGGTAAGACACTGATTGCAATTAAGAGCATTGAATGTTTCTACTTCCAGTCGTTTAAAGAGTAGCTGAAAGTTTGGACTGAAATCCATAGTCAAAATAAGGCATGGCCAACAGGGCCAAATACATTGGGCATTTTGTATAAGCAGAAAGTTTTCAGTACACTGAATTACAGGCTCTTAAAATCTGTGTTTTGTCTTTAAAAATTTATGACAAGCATACTCAGAAGACACTGAGATCAGTATGTGGCTGAACTCAACTAAAGATGACAACCTACAATCTCCATTATTTCACTCAGATAGAAACAGGGATCACGGATGTCCACTGATATCTGGATATCTAGAAACTGTGAGGAATCAAGGTGAACCCCTGTGCCATACATTGTTTTAATACAAAGACAGATGCTGTCAATGCAAAATTGTAGAGTTTACAAATTCTTTGCAGTATTTCCCTCTCCCTTAAGTAAATTACCTGTCTTCTGAGAACTTAGTATCAACCTAAGGTCATGTATCAGTTGTTGAAATAAACTAAGCCGCAGACTTCTGGGAAAAGATGCTTTTTACACCTAAAAGTACTCTTATGAGTCTGACACTCCGTTAAAAGCCTACAGGATGAACTGCCACATTACAACATCATTACTGAATTCTTAAGACTTATCACTTCAAAACCCTCTTTATTTTGAACATCTGTCTTTTAGGGAGTCTGCTGCTGCCTACACACACTTAAACAATTTAACTTCATTGCTCACTATTACAATAGTGCTACTTACCTTTCCACGCAACTGTCCTCACTTGCATTTGTTTCTTGTGCTTCTGAAAGTCTAGAAGTTCTACAGGTTGAAATACATTTACACTTCTACTTGCCCTGTTGTGCCTAGATAACAAGCATCTGAAATTATAGCAGGATATTCACATGGCTTATGGAGTGCAGCTTCCCTGCACACTACAGAAAAAATTGTCTTCCTTAGCTCTGAATTTCTAAGTTTGGACAGCTATATCATGACCTTCTTGTTTTTATATTGAAATGCTTAGGCCTTAAATGGACATGAATTCAATGGCAGGGGGGGAGTGTTACTCTTCTACTCTGATTTTATATTCCAATTTGGTAAATAGCTGGCTTTAAGCAAAACACATTACTTTAAATAATTCCAAGTATAAAAACCTTCTCTTGGTATCAAAACTCAGATGTGAATGTTTTCCTGTCCATTCCTTCTAAGAATCATTATTAGAATAAGGACAGCGAAAAAGAAGAAAACGTCAAGATTTTCCAGCAATTTAGAACAATGTAATACTGGAACAGTGTGACAGGCTGGAGAGGGTTTATCTTAATTGTCCTATTTTAGTTTCCCCAGAGAAAATTTTAGGCTGAGCCACAAAGGCTAATAGTCCCATGTGCATTTATGCCTCAACATAGGAAGCTCTCGTGCTGAAACTACCACTATCATCACTTTGCTGCTGGACTTCATCATGCTGTATTCTGTACCAGTTAGTCATGTACTAGACAAAATCTCACTAAAATATTTACATAAGAAATGAGTGGCATAGCATCAACTTGCTTGGAAAGCCATTCCTTTCTCTGGGTGAAGCCACAGAAAATGATAGCAGCTAATACGCTCTGATGTGGAATACTTTCACATGAAAAAAAGATACAGGAGGAGGTGACAAGAGACAAAAAAGATGAAAACAGATTACTCTAAAAATGGGAGGAGTTTTTACAGAAACAAAGCTAATGAAAGGCAGATGAAAAAGGGTTATAACAGAATTATAAATAGTTCTTTTTAGAGGAGGTGGATGCAGAGGTAGGAGAATTAAAAAAAGAAAAGAAAAAGAAAGGACACAGCAGTAATTGGTGTCTCTTTCAGCTAGAGAAATGACCTGTCAGGTAGGTCTGAGAGCCAGAAAGCCAGATACAAGGCATGCATTCAGCACTGGAACGAGAGCTCTGCAGAGAGCGCCTCTTGATCTTCAGACACAGTTTCAGGGGTATAATTTTGGCAGCTAACCTTTCCATCTCCCTCAACCAAGACGATGTATAGAAAGTGTGAAATAAGAAAGAACAATATGTAACTTTACAACCCTAACAAAGCCTAGGAAGTCTAAAGATTAAAATAAACGTTCCAATCACTGCAATGTGGCCTAGGAAATTGCAGAGAGGAAAGCACATTAGAAATGCTCGGGAGTTTTGTTTGAAAACCAAAGAATGCATGAGTTCTTATCTGCATTGTTATTCCTACCAGTCTCCTTATTAAGTGTACAGCAACTTCACAGAGGATTCATTTTTTTTTCTCCCCCGTTGTCTAGGCACAAACCTGAATTACTCCCTGTTGAACAAGCCTGCCAAGATATCTTATGACACCATCCAACTCCATTCTTTTGCTTCGTAAGGACAATAATAAACGTGGTTTACACATTGACTAAGCCATTCCTTCCTTATCATTCCCCTTTCCTTTTTTCCCCTCCCAAGACAATCTCTCCCTGGATTTGTGAAAAAGGAAAATTAGATGATTATAATGCAACTGCTAATATTGATGTTAAATTTCAGTTTTGTCCTGTACTCAGAGATTAGCAAATGGGGAAAACTGATTTCTGCCTAATTTGCTCTTCATTGCTGACAAATTCAGAAGATTATGTACATTCACATGCCAAGGCTGATTACTATGAAAGAAATTACATACCAAAAGTATACAGATCAAAATTTCAGAAAGTCACAATACCAGATCAACAAAACATCCAGACTAGATCAGAGTCTATTCATTATTGATTAATATCATGCACCATTAAGTCTCAAAAATCTGGGCACTATTTCCACTGTATCTTCATCTGTCACTTTTCACAATACCTGTATGTATATGGTTCATTCACAACTTTATCTGGGCTCCTATGAATTTGTCTATGGCATTTTGTGAGTAGTGTTAGGGCCCAAGCTCGTGAACAGATGGAGTAAGCAAAAGCAGCAGCAGATGCTTTTTCAGACAGCGTTTCTGCTAAGGTTGCAAGAAAGTACAGGCTATGGCAGGTGCTCTGCCACCTTAACATGTGCAGTGTCCCACAAAGAAGCACAACCATCTCTTTTGGGCACTCAAGACAAGTCTAAATTGGGTCCAATCTTACTTCATTCCCCAAAGTGGACCAGTACTGCCTTGCACAGGGATTTTGACTACTGCTAACAAGCCAGCCTGCCATGACAGCGGTAAAGAAAAAGACAGCATTCTCATTTAATTCTTTCCTCATCTAGACAAACTGTATACGACCAAGTACATAACACAGTCCTAAACAAATCACACAATCGTGCTACAGAATAAATAACATTTGTTCTGTTTTTTCAAACCTTTTCTGTACTCTAACCTTGCACATAACCATACTAGGGCTATAAATAATACATTCCCAACATTCCAGTCCCGCCAGATGCTTCTCTTCTCAAATGTGAAAACTAACAGTGATGATACACTAACTTTATGAACCATGTAGAAGCTTGGAATTTTCACAGTGTTATGTATCTCCACACACATACACAGGGCAGAGATAGTTAGGCATCTAATTATGTTAATCAGGCACTTGTAAGTCAGGTGTAGGCTGTCTATCAGTTTATTTCAATTGCCATGACTTCTAACTTTTTAAAAGATTTAAGGTATTTATCTCTTTGAAGAAGATAAAACAAATATTTTTATGCTACTAGAGACTTAAAAACATGTAACTATTTTTAGGCTGCTATTCCATGATTTCATGTGCAAGTTACACAGACAGTGGTCACTCTTTTAATCTGTCCTAGTAATTAAAATATGTATTAATTATGTAGATGTCTCCAATTCAGGACCAAGACAAAAATCTCTGTTTGTGCAGCCTTTTTAATGTGGTCTAGTAATCAAAAATGGGCCAGAATTAGAACTCAGGCACTGACTCACCACGTGGCCTTGGCAAACCAATTAGAGAGGGCCAAAATGTTCTGTCTCCCTGAGACTTACCACGTGCAAGATCACTCATGCTGGGAGCAGTCTCTGCATTTTGACTCCGGAGATGCTCAGTGTCCCTGTGTGACTCCTGGGATGGAGGTACTGAAGATGCTGAGGAGGAGGAGGATGAAGAGGAAGAGGCTGGTTTGGATTTGGAATGCAGATCGTTCAGTCTCAGGAGATTTTCAGGAGTCACAGTGTCTGGATTCACTGGGGTAGGATGCAGTGTGGCTGGCGTTACTGGGAAGAAGCTCTCTCTGTTGTCCTTTGTATGCTTTGGGGTTGTGGGTGTTTCTCCTGTGGACTACATAAAACAAAAAAGGGCAGGCAGAGACAATGAGAAAATACGTGCCAGTAATTCTGGATATGCTACCTGCTTCAGTGACAACTGCAAGCAGTGCAACTTTTTGTAGACAGAAAACACTCTCTCTAAAGTGAATATAAAATCAATCACTATAATAAAGAAATCTTTCTCCTTTACGGATTATTTTTCTGTTCTTTATGGTCTATTTATCAAACTAGCACTTGAACATATATTCACATTTACAATGCTTTATTTAATAAATCCCTCACAACATAACATACTTTCCTGAACTCTGTTATTAAGCATGAATTACAAACTTCTATGAACAGAAACACACTTCTTTCATTTAAAAATATGTTGCCAAACCCTTGACCTGAACAAACAGATCTGCAGTGATTTAAGAGAATTTGCAAATTATTAAAAGAAATTATTCTTAGTGAATGATGTGAGAAAAAAATGGAGAAAGCAGAAAAATGTATTTACTTGCAACATAAGTGATCAGCCTAACCCCAAATCATAAATTCCCAATAACTGCAGAACTGAATAACATTAGTTTCCAACTTGGAACAATGCTCTGGAAGATCTGTTGCCTTTGCAGAAGTAACAGTGGCACCAAGAGCAACGCTCTTCTCCAAAAACCAGAGATAAGACTTTAATGCAATGTCATTGATTATACAGACAGAAGGTAGAAGAGTGACATAAATTCACCAAAGAAGGGAACAGAAGTACCCATAAAGTGAGTATCTTCTCTGTAATTTTTATCCGAAATCAAGTAAAGTATTCTTGCCTGTGAGGCCACAGAATTCATTTATTTCATGCTCTTTACAGTCTTCATTTAATGGAGACTTATTGGACCATAAAAGATACGGTTGAATGGAATCCTCAACTGTTTAATTGTCTGTCTCATACCTCTACCTCTCTTACCTTTACCATGAAGAAAAACTCATTTTTTTAACCATGGTGATAAGTATGAGTGTTTGAAATAGAAATACAGAGTTCTGCTGTCAAATGTAAAATCAAATTGGGCCCTAATGTCCTAGATGACCAAAGATTTATTACAATGCCAGAAGAGTCAGCAGAATTTCACTGAGAGAACAGAGTAAATTTCAGCTGGAAATACATATTTAAAATTCAAAGGTGGAAAGCACACAAGTACTTTTTTTTTTTTAATAATTGGTGGAATGTATTTTTGAAGTTCCTGAACTTGATTAATCAATCTCTAAAAAGCATACGATTAAAACCTGCCAGATTCTATGTGCACACAAGAAATAAAATATAGCAGCTATATTCACAACAATTACCATATCGGGTCAAAAAAGGTCTATTCTGCCTCTGAAAACAGCAAGTTTCTGATGTTTAAAGCATCAGTTCCAAAACTAAAGGTCTCAAGATGCACAAATGGGATCACACAAAGCTGAGGGAAATCAAACTGCAGAAGACAGCCTTAAGCCAGAAGTGAGTTCACTAGAGGAAATATTTTCAGCTATGATTTAGAGGAAAAACCCTTCACACCCATGCACTTCATTAACTTACAGAATACATTATGTAGAACCTGACATTTCTGTGCTTGTATTGTATCCAAAATTTTTTCAGCAGAAATACAGGAAGGGACTACTACTTAGGTACATGTTTGTTAAAAATATATCTGCCTCTCAAACTGCATTTTTTTAAAAATGCACAGCTATTTCCATAGACAGAAAGAGGACATTTGGAAAGTAACTCAGCAATATTTGGATGGTAGTCAGAAGAAAAATGATTAGTGAGAGTAGGAGCACAACATCACGGAGTAATTCCTGCT